AATAAAAGGATAAAAATAAAATAAAATAAATTAAACTATCTAAGCCCAACTCCTACGTCACGAAACTCGTGACAATAGGCATACTGGGCATGCCGCGATCCAAGGCATGCCCATAAAGGCATGCCGATTTTTTTACCCGTGCCTCGAACCCTAGTTCGAAGGTAATACATATAAATAAAGAACGCTGAAGTTCTTTTAATATTTAATATGAATTTAAAAAAACTACAGTACTATTTTTGATTAAATCATTACATGCTGTATACTTAAATCGCAAACTACTTTCAAATGTTAAGTATAAATTTATGATGAGCGTGACCACCGCTAGTTTTCACTTTTCTAGTTACCATCCTGAAAATTCCTTTCTTGCCTACGAACATCCCTAAGAACTCTTGATAATTAGTCGTATAATTTCTTCAGTAGTAGGTTGTGTTTGTACTTGTTCAGGTTATGGAAGCTCTGTGGTATTAATTAGGTTGTGGTTGTTCATTGATATCAAGTTGTTCATCAATACCAGATTGTGGTTGCTCAATATCAGAATTCGGTTGTTGATCATTAGGTTGTTAATTTTTAGAAAAATGGCGAAAGGCGACGGCATAAACATGCTTACTGGGAGGTTGTGATTATATTTCTACTAAATACCACTCCTTGTGTTGTTTCAGAATTGATGGTCCAATAGTTTTTATTTGTCATTTAGTACAGAATTCATCCTTTTAATTATCTTTGGCGGGTTTCTTTTTCTGAGGCCAACTTCATACCGTAAACATTTTAAGTATTCTTTTAAGTATTATATTCGTCGAGAAAACATGTCGAATTATTCATCACATCTATAATAGCCGATTAAATATATTTTCTAATCCTGAATCACACATCAAAAACATACAAGCTTCTTACGTATAAGGTTTGAATACAATCGTGAGAATCATTTAGTAAGATTTTTTTCCGTAGTAAAGGTGCTTATGTGACACAAATATACAATATGTATAACTCTTGCTTAATAAAGTTGCAATTAATATTTAAACCAAATACTTTAGTTGAAAAACCAACTGTTAACTAATTGATTGGAAAATTTTTAACGAACCCTACGTAACAGCAAGCAATATTAATCCAAAATTGGTAAAAAAGTGTAGCTTATCTGAATAATTCGTCAATCGTAAAATTTGTATGGCCAAATCACTAGTCAAAGAGGTTCGGTTCCTCAAAGATTTACCACGTTTTAAAACATTAAAATTTTTATTATTATTATATTTCTATAAATTTTAATCTTACAAAATAATATAAATAATTCCTAACCCACGCGTATTATAAAATGATCATAAAATTCAACCCCCTTAAAAACTATTCAGCAATTAATTTCATAACCAGATAAATAAGTTATGATACTGAACATAAATATTCTAATTTTATACAACATGATATTCTTCAGCCGACAGAATCATTTCTTTAGAGAAAGTCATGGAAGCTCCTGATTCAGCATGGATTACGTCCAACACCTAAATAAAATGATCGATACATGTTATATAAATTAAAATTTCAATTTCGTAAGATACATAAGAATTAAAATTTACTTACATCTATATCACAAATCAATTTCTCACTTATGAATGAAACTCCAACAGGGAAAAACACGTTAACGTCCTCGCCCGTAATATTAAACTCAAGCGACCCTTGTTTGTTAGATGCGTCGATAATAGGCAATTGCCACTCTAGAGTTCTAGCTTGCCTATTTACTTCATAATGACCGTCAACATCACCAACAACAGGATTTCCTACAGAACTTTAATGTACATATTTATTAGATAAATATGCTAATTTTTCTGATACATCGATAAAATACTTACGGCAATGGAATGGAAATCACTACATCTTTAAATTCTTGGTTCTCGTTTTCTAATTCATATTCGATATTAACATCGATCGTTCCATCTCCAGCGGGGGTGGGCCAACAATTTACTAAATAAAGATGAATCAATAGAAGTTTAAAATTTAAAACTAAAGTAATATCATTATTTTATTATACATACTTGATAATGGAATTGATGTTTCATCTTTTGTAATGAATCGCCATCTAAGGACACCCAAAGGCTGATTAACAGGAAATCCTTTACCAGGGTTTTTCAAAGCAATAATGCTATCGGTAGAAAATAATTTCTTGTCAACATTCGGATGTGTCTGAAAATTTTTAAATAAAGAGAAACACAATTATTTACATGTATTATAATACATTTGCGCCAAAAAAATAAAAGAATGTAACCAAAAAAAACCTTCAGTTGCAGATTTCCATCGTCAACTGCACGAACAGAAATCTTGATTCGTGTCATGTTTGGATCAGAAATGGTGAGTTCTAAATCTCCTTTTACCTCTAAATTCTCAAGACCACCATCTCTGTTAGCCTGAAGAGATATCTTTTCAGTGACTGATAAGTGAACACTAAAAATTCGCATGAATAATCATCTCAATGAATGATAAACAATATCAAAGGTTATTATATAATAGAAAAAGTATCTGAAGATTCACACCTTTCAACGGGAACCTTTGGAATAGATGTGCCTCTGACACTAGCCTTTTCAGATACATCATCAAATCCAACTTCATTCTTAACAGCCTCAAACAAATCAGCACCCTTTTGTTTTCGGCCTAATTGCATTCCCTTAGCTTTAGAAGGAGATGGTGTCGGAGAACTAGATAAGAAAGATAAATTAGAATAATTTGACTTTTATAATTAAGAGATACTTTTATATTGATATCATACCTACTATACGTAGAACGTATACCCTCTTCAAAGGATGTTTGCACCTGTGGTTCAGCATAAGAAGATGGTCTATTGATAGATTGTCCAAAACTGCTTCCAAATGAACTGCCACCTCCTCTTTTGAGCATTTCTTTCTTTTGCATTTCCAATTGCTTAGCTCTTCTTTTTAGTTCTTCTTTAGCTTCTTGCTCTTTATTCTGCAATTAAAAAATTAAGGTTGTTGTTCTTTTTATAGTTAAAAAAAGTATATATATATGTGTGTAATCTTCACCCTCGCTATTATTTCTTGGATCTTTTCTTCATGACTTTCCATTTCCGTAATGCTTTTGACCTGAGCGAGATTAACATTTTCTCGATACCCTAAAGACACAATTTCATCGAAGGCACTCAGCAATTCGAAGCTATTTCTTAAAATTTCTCTTTCGTCAGTTGAATGACATACATCCGAAACCACACGAGCAAATAGATGCAAAGTGTCAATATCTTGCAAAATATTAGACTGTCTATTTGTAATAAGAACCATATAAAGCTCGTCAAGCGGCTGATAAACATATCGAACATGTTCAGTCTCAATAGTAGTATGTTGCTGTCCAGCGCTAGTTAACTTTGGAAAAGATGCAAGTAGACCTTCGATTCGGGCACGTGGCATTTCTCTAAACTGCCGAGAAATCACACCTAAAATTCATAATGGTGAACATTAAAAAAAAATTATTGTGTGGATAAACGATTGCCAAAATACCTTTCCCGCCTTTTGTGCATATCGCCGCCGCGAGGACAACCTATAGTTAACATACAAGTAAGTGTCTCTACGATCCCAGTTAACCAACAAGTGACATATCATCGTTATGTTTTATGAATTATGAATTAATCCCGATAATCAAGGATAAAAAAAAACTAACCATGATGAAAATGAAGATAAACTGGGAATTTAGTACAAGATCAAAGATTTCGTATTCATGATATAACCTATGTTGCTGATTGGAACTGTACTACCATTCAATTTACATATATATAGAAGTAAATTATCTTAAATCCCATATCGTATTTAAGTCAAAATGGTAAGAATTTAACAAGAAGTTATAAACAACCCCTTTACTTAATAACATGGTATTCGCTTTAAAAGGCAAAACAATCCGACAAAAAAATTGCCCAAGAAAATCTCAAGTGTCTTAGTAATCTTAAATGGGGATTCATCATCGTAAATGTAAGTAAATTTACAATAACACCAATATAACTGCGAAACGTAAAAATTAATTTTATTCTTTTTAATTAGGCGATTTATGTTTGTTTTAGAATTTTATATTGTTTCGAGACATTTGGATTTGGGATCGCCACGTTATACTTTGTCACTTTGGGCATTAGCATGTTTTTAGGGGCAAAACTCAAATCACTCGGATCTCCCAGATTTGGACCTGGTGGAAATGTTGAATGGCCAGGAACTGATTTAAATTCTAAAGGGATGATGGAGTAAGTATTTCTTTTCTTTTAATTTAATTATTACTCAACGAGCATATCATAACTTTGTCGTTTTGAAATGATTACATGTAGATACATGTTCGATATAATTTATGTAACATGGGCTGTCCACATTGGGAGCATGTTTTATGAAGGAGTTTGGTGGTTTTATTTATTGGTAAGTCATTCTGGATAATTTCAAAAAACTTTTTCTTATTGATCTCATCTTAAAATATTAAAATTTCATCAAAAGATACCATTATATGCGTTGTATAAGATCTGGACGCTTTTCATACAACCAAGCATGTTTTCAGGTAATGAAGGAACTATTCCACAGGAAAAAAGCAATCGCCAAAAAAAAATGGAAAAACGGCAATCAAAACGATAATTTACAGTATAGAAAAAATAAACAATTATATAGACTTTACACAAATCAGAGGTATCTTACATTATTATTTTTTATTACAAACAAACAATAAATGAATTAGCAATCATTACATTCTCTTGAATATTTTGTTTGGCATATATTTTTATAAGAGACGCGGTTCTTATCTGTAAGGATGGTGTTTTTTATTTTTGACATCTATGTTCCTTTCTTTCCATGTACTTTTTCGTAATTTTATGGGTCTATTACCTACATATTTTCCTATTACAGAAAAACAATTAGCCCTCAGTATCCAAAAAACTGATAATAATAATAATAATAATAATAATAAACCACGACTTACCGTTCATTTCCTTCCACGCTTTGACAAATTCATCTGCATCCTTAAAACTAACAAATCCGTATCCCTTACTCTTATTAGTGCGTTTATCCCGGATAACCTTGGCCTTTTGTATAGAGGGATATTTACTAAACGCTTTGTAAAGGATGTCATCTGTCACTTCATTGCCGAGATCACCACAGAATAAGCGAAAATCATCTGTAATAAAATTTGACTTAATATATTAATATATTATTGAATAAAACATCAATTATAAAAAAAAAAAAATATCGTACTAATGTCCCATTCTAGTAATGTTGGATCTTCCCAAACTTCACCTCCTGCAGCTCTAATAATTGTCTTTGGTTTCTTTTTTGAAGTGGATTGCTTATTAATACCACTCTGCATATCAAGATGCCCACTTAAAATATCATCTTTTGGTTGATGGATACCAGAATTCATTCCTCTATCTTGCTGATGCATAATTCCAGATTTGCCTGAAGACATGGAAACGGATGTGTTTACAATGGCTGGAGGTGCTTCAACCACAGTAGCTGTAGATGCTTTTGGTGCAGAGGACACTCCTGTCGTAGAATAATAATAATTACTACTACCATATGAAGAATAATCATAGCCGTCGTAAGTGCCGCTATTTGTGTTTTGATATGGAACACTAGAAGAGTATGCTGCATAATCATATCCATAGTATGATTGGGATAGATCACTAGTTGACGAAGCTGCTGTGTTAGATGTGGAAACATAGCCTGTAGGATCGTAGGTATATGGTGTGTGTGAGTGGTTTGGTCCTGACATAATTACTATTAACGAAAGATTTATAACTGTTTTTCATTAATTAACTTCCTGTAACTTATATATAATAAAATTCATAACTTTCATTGGCCAAAAAAATCCACAGATCGACTACATTTTTGATAGATTCCTAAATTTGAGTTACATTCTTGATGCACCTTAAAAATTGTCAATAGTGATGCAAACGGCTTGAGCCAAAATGGCTAAGCCGAGCCGATTAACGGCTCGGTGCTGGATTTACCAATAC